CGCTGGTTCAGTTTATTAACAGAATTTTCAGTGAATCCACGAGATTCTTTGAGAAACTCAATAAACTGGCATCCAACAATCTTTTTCTGAACCAGATAATGAGAAATTTGGAAATTTAGATAACACGGCATCTGGCCAGAAAGGTGACAATCCTGTAGTTCCAAAAGCAGACTTGCTTCTGCATTAGTTGAAATTGCTAACCAAAGCAATGTCCACGTGATAACTGACGGTTATTAACGATACCCCATGCGCGGCCACCTGACGCCGAAGTTACCCCACCTTATGACGAAGTAACCCGCAATGTCGAAGTATCCCAGTTTACGGTATCCAGCAATAATTCAAATACCTAACTAATTTATTGTTTATAGACAAGGCCACAACATTACTAATGATTTCCACAGCATACTTAATAATCATGGTTCACTGACGCAGCCATTTAAAAATAAATATTTGTCTCATTTATTTTTCAAAGTTTTAAAATTGGATGCACTAAGAAATTTATGTTTTAATCAAAAATATAGTCTTTTTATTTAATAAAAAAAAAAGTTGAATAACTTTTGCTGGCTATCTACTTCTAAAGTGACACTTGTGTACCAAAAACAGAAATATTTAAGTCAAAAACAAACCAAAAAGTTGGGGGCGTACAATGACTCGCGGCCACCCGGTATATGTACAGAATGTGTAATTACATACTTGATTTGACCGAAAACCTGGACAGTCGCAGCATTTATTTTGGTAAAGATGTGCTTGTCCATAATCAAAGTCTAGACCGCAAGCGAGAGCAAAGTACCCTAAACGGCCGTGAGAGAAGTTTTGCTGATTTTAAATAAAAAGCATGCCTTATTTTTTAGTGTTTTGACGTGTTCTAGTTTAACTAGTAATTCGACGCCAATTTCCTAATATTAAACTAAACTACTAATCACCTCCATTGACTGTAAAAATATTACTTTTTTAATCGTTATTCTGTCGGCCATACTGGTTGTTAGTATACTGAGTTGCACTGACAGAACAGCATTTTTTAGAAAGAGCTTAAACTATTTGTTTTAATTGATCAGGATACTTAATCTGAGATAATGGTTAAACATAAATAGGTCATTCCAAAGACTTAAAAATACATACAAAATATTTGAACAAGTGGTACTGCACTGTGGAGAAACAATAATTACGAAATTGGTTTGCCTGCAGTTTATTTTGTTCTCTGATTTCCTGGATCTAAGGCGATAATCCTTTTCATTCCTTTCAATCTCTTATTTTCCTTGCCTGAACTCTAACATAAGAGTCGTAAATAAAATTATCGTATATTGATTACAGATCCGCCTTTCACGGATTTTAGGGCAGTAGAACCATAACGTCTTCGAGAAACAGCTTCACGTTTTTACTTAACCAATTTAATGATCCCATTTGCTACAATTTGTCGTACATTCGCTGTTCTAATGTCCTTGGCAATTTAATAAGGAGCAAGCGTTGTAAAACACGAGCTGCATTTTATTTGGAGCTTTTAACTGTTCAGTACAATAACAGTCGCATTATCATCAAGAACAGCGATGGACCATTAGAGTTAGACTTGTTATTTTATTATCCGTCTACAAAAAAACACGGTAAACATGTTTTGGTCTCCATAAACGGTTTCAGGTAATTATCGTTTTCTATTTGTCGCTGTGTGTCTGATTGTCTGATTGCATTCTTCTTTGTTGTGCTTGCAGTTTCAATATTTTGATCGCTTTAGGTAATGTTAATAAATCACCTTTAATATTCCAGTTATTATTATTTACCTTAATATTCCTTCTGACTTATAGTTAATAATGTACCAGTGAAGAGAGATGCTTCATCTCTACCGGTTGGTCGGTCGGGCTCCTCGTTTAAATACTTTCTGGCTTAGGGACTCATATCAGTTGGTTTAGGCTTTGTTGAATGGAATAACCGCCCGTGGCTTGGCGCGATACCTAAACTGTGGGTAGTTTCCATGTTTGTGTTCTTCAGGATACTAATTGTAGCTGGTGATGTGTTTATAAAATACCACTTCAAGGTCGATGGGTTTTCATTGTAACACTAATAAAAACTGTTTCAGCATTACACAAATCATTTATTAGATACAAAAGTACTAAACGCAATTAAAAAACTAAAATCTAATATGGCAATGAATCATGACAATTTTCCTTTCCTTTTTGAAAGAAACTCAGCTTCGAATACGCCATGGTGCTGAGTTTTAATTTTAATACTAAAATCTAGTGACTTTAGTAGTATTAAGTAAAAATCTAATTGATTTTCGGATATCTAGCAAACATAATTAATTGTTTTTCACTGTACTGTTATGTAACTGGAAGGGTCACTTGAATTCTGGCTATATACGCAGGTTTACAATCATGTGAAAAACACCCTTAACGTCAATCAGCAGTTTCATGGTGGTGATCAGCTTTTGTTGTTATGTTTGCTAGATATCCGAAAAATCATTAAATGGATTCATATTTAGAAATAAACGAGCCATAATGGGCTAGTTGACTAAATTTGAGAAAAATTGGTTTATACTTTACCTTAATATCTGAAGTTTATACCAAAAAGTATTACTCCAAATAAAAAAAAAACACTATTTACAATATGTGTTTTGCGTTTTTAAAAACCAATTCAAATTTACCTCGAAAACGCTCAAAACTGTCATGGCGTCTTGAATGACGTCACACCGTGAGAAACAATAATTTTTGTGTATGTTAGTTAACTTTTTGAATTAAAAAGAATTCTTCGTATTACAACTACTGTTTAGTGCGCCAGTGTAAAAGCACAACTATAAACGCCAAACAAACATTTATGTTCCTAACAAGGAACAAATACGGAATAAAGTGGCTAAAACTTGCAAGGAGGGATGATGTTCATAGTTTATCAACAAATTCAAGAACACAGATCATTTTGACGTAAATCACACAACACAATCCATGTATTTCTAAGTCTAAAGCGAAACTGACGAATTTGGCAGATTAAGTTTATATTAATAGTTATTTAGCACTTGGTAACTTTATTAAATCTAACCTTAATAAAATATGTTTTACACTTGTGTATACTTACATCAAAGTTTAACATTGCGGATTCCGATGAGCAAAAGTACTGTTTGACGCGAAAAATCTGCCGAGCATAACGACGTCAACTTTGGGTAAATTACTACTATTTACTTTGCTAAATCCTGATTCTATGGCAGATTATACTTGTCTTTCAAACTATAACAACAAATCAACTTGACAAAAATTGTTCATTTACAACCATTTATGAAATAACCTGCTTCCTTCTACTAAAATGTCAACAACATTAATGGTGTTTCACACGGCGTGACGTCACACTTTCTGATTGGTGTTTGCTGCCACGCTACTGAATGCCATTTTGCTGAATTTATTTTCTAAAAATAAGAATAGTCTTTATTTTTTTATAACAACTAATTTTGTGTTTTGTTATCTACTTATCATGATTAATCATTAGAAACTTTTATCCATCTGATTTATTCTTAGTGGACAAAAGCCTATTTGTGCAGCGTGCGGTTTGTTGCTCCTCAGGTGTTCCCCAGGGGTCGATTCTCGGACTGGCTAGGCTTAAATATACTTAGAATGGCTTTACAATTTTCTGGTACTTCCGACCACCGTTACCAAATACCAAATACTTGCTTTAATTATGCCAAAGTCCAATCAGAGCTTGACGTCTTCAATTATTGTATATTTTATTATTAGCGATTTAAATATATACTATATATTTATTTTTGGAATGTCTATTTTATAATATAGTCGTAGTATCCCTGATACATACTAGTATAAAAAAAATACGCTTTATAAAGACAAATGTGCGTATAACATGTTTACTTTACGAAATGACGTATACGCCGTAAACCGTTTCCAAAGGAACGTTTTATAGTTTTATAAAATAATATCGAAAGACGTAATAATAAATAAGATAAGAACAGACGAACATCTTAAATTGCAAAAATTCAGAAAACATCGTCAATTATTCGGCAACAACTTTTTAAAACTCCCTTTTATCAAGCACAGATAAGTAAGGCAAGAGCGAAACAGCGATCTCTAAACAAAGTTATGATGAAGTGCTGGTGTTTGCCATCGACGAAAGAAACAAAGGTATTTGGATAAGTCCGTATAATGTTTCGAGTTTAGAGAGCAGCTCGGGGGGCTGTTTAACTGTGGACGGGAAAAATCGACAAAGCAGTGACTGCTCACGGTAAATACTGATGGAATGTCCGTTTTCCTAAATATTTTCTAAATATTATAATACTGTAAACCTTTACGAAAAAATGAAGGACGAAAAAATGTTATAGCTATATCCACATAGAGGTGTTGATAATGAATTCATAATATACAACTACAGTGTAACCTTCATAATCCGAACACACTATATTCCGAACTTCCAATAATCCGAATCGACAGTTAGTTAACTGCTGTAATCCGAACAACTTAAAATTTAAATTCGGTAACCCGGAATTAAAGAAAAATCTAGACTGCCACGATCACAAATGAGCTGGTCGAGGTACACCCAGTGTTAAAATTAATGGATCTAAAATTACCAAAAAATATGTACTTGAATAGATCAAACCGATCTGCAGAGATAAAAATACTGGTTGTTTTTTATATATCCTCAATGCCTCAAGTCATATCTTGTGTCTGTTTTCATCTTTAGGTTGGTGGTCAGTTTATAATGCATTAATTTTAGGAGAAGATAGAGCAGTAGCTCAGTTGGAAGAGCATTGGCTGTGCTCAGGAAAGCCAAAGGTCCCGGGTTCAAGCTGCGTTAAACATTTATAATTTTCCTACAAGCTTCAGAAATGGATGGTAAACTCGCTTGACAACACAGTTCACCTTATGTTGGGAAATTATTTATATTTACCAAGGTGTCGGATTATGGCCGGCAGCCGAAGACGGCTGTTTGTCAGGCATGGTCGAGCTGTGGAGTAAATTAGGTAAAGAACGGTACCCCTGAATTTCACGTTTTCGTCGAGCATTTTAAACCGGTGTGGACGCGCTGTAGCTCAGTTGGAAGAGCATTGCCACGGAAAGCCAAAAGGTCCTGAGGTTTAAGCCCCGACTGCGTTAAGCTTTTTTAATTCTCCGACAAACGAAAGATTAAGATAAAGGAAGGCACCCCATTTTCCCACTAAGATATTCGAAAATGGTAGGAAATTCATTGAAAACGCCGGACTGGGTTATTTTGTTAAACATTTGAATTTGAAAAAATAGAAATTTTCTTATGCTTAAAATATTATACATTTAATTTGAAAAAAGTTATTACCGAAACTCCGCAAGAATTTTGCAAAAATTTCACTAATGGTGACCTTTAGTTCCTTTAGGTCACCATTCCACGTTAAAAAACAATATTTTGCAATAGAGTCGATTTTGAGTTAAACACCTGTTAAAAAATTATTGAATAATTTATTACCGATCCAATAAACATTTGTCCAACGTCAGGACGCTCCAGATCATGAGCCGCCACTGCGACCGAAAAACATTTTCGTTGTTTTCCGCCTGCAAAGAAACGTCACAGACGATTTCCCCAGTGGCGTGGCGCTAATACTTCGTTCCGGCTCGGCCCCTGGGGACGATATTAGCAGTGTTACATTGTTCGCACTCGAAAGCGTTGCTTAATAACTGGGTTACGGGAATGATGGTGCAGATTGCGTTAGTCAGTTTAGAGTTTTAGATGTACGTAAGTTGTGGTACTTAAACACCAAATCTGGCATCTGATGTACTTGTTTTTAACGAACAATTTAGAGACGTTGATACATTTATTCAAAATTTCTGATATATTACTCAAGGTTTATGTTAAATTACTTCAATTTGTAGTATTTACCAATCATATTATACTATTTACTACATATCTTTGGAATGCAAGTCGTATTTTACTATATTCTGTAATATAAAAAATATGCAGTGTTATTAACTAAATAATGTTTCCCGTTATGCGACTTTATAATTTTTACAATAGCGTAGTGATAATTGGCAAAACGTAATGAAACAGTTGAAGATAGGTATAGGACATTGTAGGGGAGAGAGGGGACCTTTGGGCAGGTGGGAGGCCTGAGCGTTTGAGATATAAATTATGCGCGTAACTGCGATACCGCCGACTAATCAGGTTTAGCTAAGTCTTGTAGTTGGCACATCTACCGACCACTTCGGTCTAGCGCTAACGGTTGTCAAACAACCAGAGCAGCTGACTTGATATTTGTGAACGTGTGGACTAACAATTTAATAATAAAAGTTTTCCTTTCCATTGTATAAGAATCGATATAAGTATGGTATTTTTTCGCTTAGTCATAAACATCCATACCACATGCTGATGTAATATTTGATGGTTAAGATGATTTCGTTTTGTGTTGTATTTTATAGTTATCTTTAATGAATTGGGTGGGATGGTTGGACACCAAACTGTGAGGGAGCGTTGGACATGCCCAACGCTCCTTTTATTATGCCCATTCATCCCTATATGATTTTTATTTATTTTTAGAACATGCCTTTTTCAGTACAAAAAAAAGACGGATCGCGTTGATGTGCATTACGACATCATTGAAAGGGCTATTAATCAAGTGCAGGAGGGTGCAAAGATTCTGCCCACTGCAAATAAATACAATATACCCAGATCGTCTTTGCAACGTTAGTATATAAGTATATAGTAATTAAAGATGATATAATTACGAAATTACCCACACCCACTCTGTCGACAACAAGAGGAAGCTAAGTATTTGTTCGACAAGCCACTGTGGGTCATACAAAATTTTAAATCAGCAGCCGAGTGAGAAGGAAGTTTCAACGAACTAATAATAGTCATTTACGTACCTTTGGTAATTTTTTCATGTGATGTATCTAAATATTACAAAAAATACTAATAAAAATTCTTAAAATAGTGTATTTAAATGTTGATTGATAAATGCTCAAAGCTCCACCGGTGCCCACAGGTCCCTCTGGTAGGGAGCTTTGGTCACTTTTCAAGAGACTTATAAATGTTATGTTTTCTCAAAAAGCTAACAAAGTAGAGTTTTTCCCTAATGAATATACCACTTGAAACCCCTCCCAATTTGATGGTGAAAACAAATTGATGCTAGATACGACTGAATTCACTGTGCATGCAATTTACTGAAAAAGTGCCCAAGGGTCCCCTCTCTCCCCTACATGAAATAGGTCTAGAATTTTCTGAAGAATTCAAAAATTGAATAATATACAGGGAGTTGCATTTAATATAAGAAAGATGGTATTGGCCACTGTGACATGACATACCCTGTATAATTTTTTTTAGAAGATGCGCAACTAAAAATACAAATCGACGTGTCCGAGCGTTTTCCCAAAACGCCCTCATTTATTAACTAATTGATTCCATTTGGCTGGTACACACTGTATATAGTACTATGGTTATGATGGTATACTGAAAATTCAAATAAAATCTAATATTTGTATTCGACAAATATTAAATAATTTCATTTTGATAGATATAAAATTAATCGTCATATTTTATCATTAAAAAAATTATGGCGTTAAATACGTATGTCTTCCTAATTGACTTCTGGCATTTGTCCAATGGTGTCATAAAATATGCTAAATTATATCGACAAATCGCCAGAAGTGCACCTAATAAAATAAATATTCCATAGGTTCCACTTAGTCTTCTGGCGTTTTGCAGGCAATCCAGTTTTGAGTCACAGAATAAGTATAGAAATTGACAAAGTGCACCGAGTCACATAATTATTGCAAAATTTTTCACAACATTAGCGCCTTCTGGCGGGTCATTATCTTCCACCTAGTCTTCTGGAAATTTTTTTTCACTTATTTGTATAAGTCGATTATCCTGCAAATTTTTTAGCACTGCACCTTATGACTTAGTCAACGTAAAAAAATTGCATATTTAACCCTCTACCTTTCGCGTTATTCTTCCAGGATGCCTCTAGCGTCCCGTCTCACACTACGTCGGTAATAACTGAACCTGTAATTAATACTAAAATTTGCACTCACCGAGTCACCCGTACCCCTACGTTGCCAGCTCTTAGACTATTTTACCAGAAGGGATATTTCAAAATGCTAATTCCAAGGTTTTGAAGTTATCCCTATATTAATAGTATATTATACATATACCTTGGTTGAGAAGTACACATTTAAAAGAAATTTTATATAAAATTTTCGAGATAAAAAGTGGCCTTCTCAACCGAAGTATATAGTATTTGTTTTACTACTAATAGCCGAACTAACATCAAAAGATCTTAGTTTTACTTTTAAATTAGTCATTTCCTATTGTATTGAAACATAGCTAAATGAAGGGGTAAGTCCGGTGAGTGGAAAAGTTGCCTATCCTATAGTAACTAAGAAGTGAGAACTGTGCTCAAAGTTAAAGGTAAATACAAAATAGCGGGAAGTTCGATACAACATATATAACTGTCTTATCAATTTGTCATAATTGAAAATATATTTTATGTGGTTGCAGAAAAATATTTAAAATATCTGTGAAAATATATTTTTTTTTTAAAAAATATTTCTACTCACCCCTTCAAATAGCTCAGTTCGGTTATCAAGGCAATTGAATAAAACAATTGAAACTGATTTTCAATAAACGTCATTATTCTGTAAAATATTTATAATCACCTTTTGGAAGGTTTTAAGTATTCATTATCTTAGGATATTTCTAGAGTTTGTTTTTCATGTTCATTTGTTAAATAAATAAAGTTTCAGTCAATTTCTTTAAAAATATAAAAAAAATTATTATCAAACCTAGGTACTTAAATAATGAATTATCATTATTTACCTAGGTTAATAATGGAACTACTTCTCATTAGACAAAGGTGGTAAATAAGATTTTCTCATGTTAGTAGTAACAAAAATATTTTTTATCTCTAAAAGTATTAGATATTTTGAAAAACGACGAAACACTTCTTTTCCCGTAGTTTTGAAATAGTAAAATTTTTTTGAATATTGGCACACAGATTGGTTTTAGGGTATAGAGATTATTTTATTATTAGGGACATTTCCAAATTATAATTCCAAGGGTTTGTATGGCCCCTAAAAATTAAAATAATATTTGTTTCAAAAAGCATTTGATATTTTGGAAAGGGCGAATTGCCTCAATTTTATTTTATTTATTTGCGTAGTTTTTACAATAATTGAACGGGTTATGCAAGGGGGTGAAAACTATTCCATATTAAAAAATCTATAATCTGGCATGCGAGCGAAGCCGCGGGTATTTAGCTAAATAGTTAATTATTATTATGCTAACGATATTGTGTCGACACAGGGTCGATAGAAAATCTGACGAGTGCAAATGAGTGATACAACAAACCCGCATATTATGAACTCGTCCGAGCTACAAGTGATCTAATCCAATGCGAAACTGTCTCTATGCACCATTTAAAAAATAAACATACTAAATACTAATAGCAGCAACCATTTTATTCACTTAATATTGCGTCATTATCCATGGGTAAAGCATCGCTAACTACGAAACAATTATCTACCTTAATTCCCTCCATAAACATCAGATTCTATTGGCCCACCGCATGCACATATTTACAAATTCATAACGGCAGTTGCATTAATGAGTCGTATAATAAGGCAGGATATTTGCAATTTGGTATATTAAACACCTGTGGACTTTGTTTTTCATTACCTTCGCTCGACGCACGGCTGTTGTCATATTGCAGTATCCTGTTTTGAGCATCGCATAACGGTGCGGAAATGTAAATCATCCGTTAAAAGAAACGTTCTGATTTGAAGTGAATACAACGTGTATGAAATGCAAGGGATTTTGTTGTTATACGATATAGGCCAGTGAATAGAGACGTGAAAACTACAAAATTTAACATTAATTCTTACATTTTTGAAACTATATCATGTGATGAAGTAGCAACCCAAACGAAACTTAGAGTTCGATGTAAAATTTGCAGTGATGTTAATTTTATTTTGACAGTAAAAATTTTGGGATTAATTATTTATTGCAAATTTTATCAATCTGCCTACGTCGGGAGTTACTGCAAAATGGAGAGCGCGTTTCACTTACGAATGCGATCATTTGCAATCCACCTGTACACATGTTACTTTTTTGAATCTGTTTTAGGTAAAAA